CTCTCTCTCTCTCTCTCTCTCTCTCTCTCTCTCTCTCTCTCTCAGTCCTTCAATATTGATCTACATTCATGATCAATGCAACTGATGATCTCAGCAGGCCTTTCTGCTCAGTGCTTGATTTAAGGACCCACTATATACCTTCTTTGTCAAATTCAGATGTGGGAATTTATTTGCGTGATAAAATAAATAAAAGAAAGTAGATGGTTGCTTATTTGCAAAAAAAAAGAGAAGCTGAACTGTGTCTACTGCTTTCCACTCTTTTTGCTTTTAGAGACATTCTAAAGATTTTTTTTTTTTTTAGCTTGTAACTCTCTCAGTTTGGTAAATATGCTGTCTCCTCTCAGCAGAGAGAACACCGAAATACTAAACCTTTTCATGGGTCAGTTGCATCAGCCCAGTTTTTAACAACACTACAGCAACAGGGAGGTGTTATGAGAACCTTTGCGCACTGCGGTGTTGCCCTAAGAGCGAGGGTGTGTTTGAATCATGCAGAGTCATGTGGCGTGTCCTCAGCTAAAAGGTGACTATGTCCCTAAGGTCTTACTGGATATTTATTCTTTCTGGTGTCAGACAGCTTTTTGCATAAACATCTTGAAAAATCACATTTTCTATGCATAAATGTAATGCCTCTGTGCTTAATTACTTCTACTGCAAGATGCATTTGATAAAAAGCACCTGCTAAATACTACTTTATGTTCTGGCATGAATATAAATGCCTTTTTTTCTTAGCTATCTTTCTTTTTTTCTTTTTTTTTTAATGGGAAAGGTGTCCTCCTGCATCCAATTTGTAAATGCAGAGCACTTAAAGTAATTGCCAAATGTGTAAAGCTGACATGACAAAACGCCATCTAAAACATGCATTTTTACATGTTGAAAAATAGTTCATGATCATGTTATTGTGATTGTTTATTTCTGCACACATTAAATGAATTGTCCAAAATTAATTTATTTACCAAAAAAAAGTAATTAACCTAGAGCTTTTCTCAGCACTAACTTCTCTTTTCTAATTTTTAAGCGTTACCATTTATTATTATCGTCATTATTATTATTATGGGATCTGTACGATTTTTAAATGTTTTTTTAAAGATGTGTCTTATATGCTCGCCAAATAAAAACAGTAACACTGTTCATATATTTTAATTAAATCCTGCAATGGCAAAACTGAATTTTTTGTATCCATTACTCCAGACTTCCATGTCATTTGATCATTACAAAATCAATCTGATTTGCTGATTTGGTGCTCAAGTAACATTTCTTATTATTATCAATGTTGAAAACCGTTGTGCTGCTTAATATTTTTGTAGAAACCATGATCTTTATTTTCAAGATTCTTTGATGACTAGAACTTGCGGGAATAACAACGTTTGAAATAGTAATCTTTTGTACAATAAATGTTTCCTATTGATGAGTTTATTGCCTCCTTTGTGAATAAAAGTATTATTTCTTTCAAAATAATTGTTCATTTTGCTACGGGCCATGGTGTGGTATAATGTGGATGAGTTGTACCTGTAAAGGGCAAGCCCAGTCTGAGCCAGATTCTGAATCAGCACTTTCTCTTAACGCCCAAGTCATGCGGGGCGAAGATCCTTCCATCTTTCATTCTCCAGGTCTGACAGCATCTGTTATTCGAAGCTTCCAACAGTAGTGGAGGGGTCAGCTGCTAAGCACTGGCAGAGGCGTGTTTCCCAACGGCACCTCCAATCAATTGCTCCTCTCTCCGGCTGGGGACGTGGGATGTTTTGATGGGAAAAGGCTGCGTGTGATGCACAGGGCTTTTCACCGTCTTGCGTTCCGACTGCAGTTCCCCTGGCCAACGCTCTGACAGGCGCTGGGCGAGCAGGAAGAGACGCCTGGAGATTCAGGGATGCTCATAGCGGGTTAATAATACACATCCTCCACAACTGGCCCACGTCAACTTCACTATCGGCGCGATTGCCCGTTTCCTTCGCGGACCCTGAGCAGGTATTTACACCGCATTTCTTACGGCTGCTGGAGGTGCGCGGGTCACGAGCAGGTGCTGTCCAGCGAAGGTGGTGCTGAAAGCGGCTTGTGTGCTAGATAGAGCCGAGCCTTTGCGGCGGGGGTTCAAGTAAGGTAATGCACCAAGGCTACTGAGGTCGGACTCGGAACGAAAACACTTTGCAGAGATCCTGGTGAGCTTGGGCCATATGACCAAATATACTGTCCTGAACTGGATTAAGAAAGTCATTGGTCGAGAAGTCCAAAGTTGCCTTCTGGATCTCTGACCCCCGGAAGTTGATAGGTATATCTTCTATCTAAAATACGCACGGTGGTGATAGACAGTAACGCAAATGAATCAAACTAGCTCTGCACAATGGGGTTGCTATTGTGACAGCCTGATTGTCGCTATCAGCATCAGCTGCACGGAGGGATTTGATTATCTGTCATTGTGGAAGATAGAAATGATATTTACTGTGTCATTTTTGCTCGAAGACCATGCAGCGCTGAAAGAAAATACATGTGCAAAACTGGTTTCACATTGCACCTTGTGAGATGAAGGACAAAACGTTCCGATCAAGTTGTGCATGTGCATGTTTTATTGCGCTGCAGTAGGCTATCATCACTTTTGTATTATTATTATTATATAGGCTATCATTATTAATAATAAAACCTGTTCATTTTGTGTGCAGATCTGGCTGTACGATCTCTGGTCTCATACATTTGAAGTGCCAAGTACAAGGACAGGAACACTTAAAAAGCCATCATGAATTTCCTGATGAAAGCAGCTTTGGGAGGTGAGTGTATATATTCCCGTTGGGAGATTAGAAGTTAGAATTAACGACTTGAGTGCTGTAGTGCTGCAGCAGTGGTCACGTGCGCGCTCCTTGGAAGTCGTTCGATGTTCAACTTAACGCACCGGAGAGAGAGAAGGTTGTGCTACTGTCTAAAGCGACACTATTTGGCGTTTAGCATCTCTTGCGTGCAGCAGCCCAGGACTGAATGTTGAGCAGTATGAGCAGTAATTATAACAAAATGTATTAGATCAAATGTAATAAAATTACAATAAACTATGACATACTATGGCATATGGATAACAGGTGTACAATTTTTTATTTTTTTTTTGCAAATTCAGGACCAGGTGCTTTTCTCTTGGGTAACAGAGTTGAGTGGTGAAAGGGATAGTCCGCCCAAAAATGAAAATTCTGTCATTAATTACTCACCTTCATGTCATTCCAAAGACCTTCATTCATCTTCGGAACACAAATTAAGATATTTTTGATGAAATCCAAGAGCTCTCTGGCCCTCCATAGACATCAAGGGTCCTACCAAGTTCAAGGCCCAGAAAGGTACCAAGAACATTGACAAAATAGTCCATGTAACAGTGGTTCAACCGTAAGTTTATGAACCTACGAGAATACTTTTTGTGCGAAAAAACAAAAACAAAAATAACGACTTTATTCTACAATTCTTCTCCCCCGAGTTACCATCTAGCCCCGTTATGGAGAGTACCACGACAAAAAATTAAGACAATTTAGAGATATTATTTGTTTGTCATTTTATTCATTTATTATTTGTCATGGCATAGAAAATATCCACTTCCTGAGTCACCAATTTTAAGTAACATTGTAATGGGGAAAGACATGTGGTAACAGGGTTGCATTGCGTAACAGCTACAAATTCCGTTTTTTTGTTTTGTTTGTTAAATTTTGATTTACAACACTTTTAGTTTTACTACAATGAACAATAAACTCAACAGTTTGCCAAAATTATGACATTACTGTATTTAATAGTTCAATCCAAAGGGTCAAGGTCGCTGAGATGAGACATGCCTTGCTAGTTTTAATGTTAGATTAATTTTATGTAATATAATAAATGTCTAATAAGTCTCACAACACAAAACATACGTGTCTCTAATTCTTGGGGACAAAAATATATATTGGAAAACCAAAGTGCACCCTATTTGTGGAACATGCCATGGAATTCTTTGAAATACCATGCAATACCACATAAATACCATGGTGCATGATTATATTTGTTATCATTTAGGCCAGTGGCACCACCACAGTATATTTGTGCAATATTCATATAATAATGGACCATCTCTCACTTTCACTATGCTGTTATGTGAAAGCTTGTTTGTGTGTAGTGATGTGGTGTGGTCCTGTGATGTGGATGCACAAATGGCCATGCAGTTCAAATATTTGCTTCAGCGCTTTCAGACTCGAGCCCGAGTGTGTTTAAAGTAGAAAAGCTGATGTCACCGCTGGACCAGGGCCACAGAGCAGCTGACTGAAGCAGAGGACAGTGTGAAGAGCACCAGCTGCCCTAACCGTCCCAAAAATAGAGATTTCAAAACACAAGACTTAAATTGATACATTAGTGACAGCGATTCTTCAATCATAGACTCGAAAAAATTAGCAGCTTTGGTTTAACGTTTCAGACAGAGAACCATTTTGATGCCATCTGTTGAGAGGTACAAAAGCGGAAAGGGAGCACATGCAACACCATATGTTAACCAGCTTGGTAAATTTTTGTGTTTCACCATGTCTGTTGCTGTTGTTCATTTTTCCATACTCTCCTTGAAGCTAAAATTCGAGGATCAATTATGGATTCAATATGCTCCATATTCACTCACAGGACTCAAAAACATGGTTTCCATATGCATACAACAATGTACACTGAAAAATAAACAGGCACTCAAGAGCATATACAGACACTGAGAGGCACAATATACATATACACACAACATACAAATATCACACCTATTAGGGATACATGCTTACAAATGCCAATGTTAAATGTTTAACTCAATCATGCACTTTTTAAAATATGTGACCCTGGACCACAAAGGGTCAATATTTTTAAACCTGAAAGCTGAATAAATAAGCTTTCCATTGATGTATGGTTTGTTAGAATAGGGCAATATTTGGCTGAGATACAACTATTTAAAAATCTGAATCTTTGAAATTTACTTTGAAAAATCTAAATACTGAGAAAATCGCCTTTAAAGTTGTCCAAATGAAGTTCTTAGCAATGCATATTACTAATCAAAAATTAAGTTTTGATATATTTTTGGTAGGATATTTACAAAATATCTTCATGGAACATGATCTTTTCTTAATATCCTAATGATTTTTGGCATAAAATAAAAATCTATCATTTTGTCCCAAATTGTATTTTTGGCTATTGCTACAAATATACCCATGCTACTTATGACTGGTTTTGTGGTCCAGGGTCACATATATTCAGAAATGATACAATTATTAAAAGCTTATTTATTAATGTACTTTTGAATGCTAACAAATGTAACTAAACCTTAGTTCATATATTACCTAATGCTCTTTTTTACATACACAAATGCTGTGAAAAAATGAGCTTAATTAGTCATTTATCAATTACAATTACAAATCATTTATTAATCATTTGTTCATGTTTTTGCAGTACCCAATCTGAAGTGGAAACTATTCATTATTTATAAATGTTTATAAATGTTTACTAATAATTCAGTACCTTTATGCGCACTGGACTTTTAGCTGTTGTAACAACATTTGTTTAAAGGGTGGTTTAAGTTTAGCTAAATGCTTGCTAACACATTGTAATTTAGGTGCAAAACTTTTTATTGCCTCAAATTAGTGTAGTTGCCTACTGTATATAATTAAACAGGACATTCCTTGACACAGGAGAAAAATACATTTGTTTTAAAGAACTTGTTAATTTCTTAACACATCCCACTGTAATATAAACAGTGTAATATAAACAGTAATATAAACGTCTGACCTTTTAACCAACCCTTAAACCTACCCATACCACCAAATCCGTATCACATAGCAGCAAAAGCGTTGTACATTAATAAGCTTTTTAAAATTGTAGAACATCTGCAGAACAAAAATTCTATAGAACATCATGAATTAAACATTTAATCACATTATTCCACATTTCTAGCTATTTGAATATATATAAACTAATTATCTGTTGAGCATTGATTTTTGTTAAAGGGGTCTTATGATGTTGCTTAAAAGAACATTATTTTGTGTATTTGGTGTAATGAAATGTGTTTATGCGGTTTAAGGTTCAAA